TGTGGAGGGACAGCGTGGTGCTTCTGCCTAGAGTGCCATTTTGCAGGAAGTCTCCTAATATTAAAAGCTTAAATTGCTTGGAAGAGATGGTTAGTGAAATTATGGACATCAAAGACAATTCTGGTGAGGGCTCAGAAAGAAGTGAGGAGAGTTGTAAAACCAGAGATGCTGCATACAGTGAGAAGCAGTAGCAGAGAAAATGCAACAATAAAACCAGGAGACTATCGGGAGACAGTGTGAGAGTTGACCCATGGAATGAGATAGCTGAGTGACTTTGTGCAGAAGGCTTCCTGGCAAAGTGGGGTGCCTCTGAGCACTTATTGGTGGAGCTAGGCTTGCTGACCCACAGAGCAAGAGAGTTGAGCACCTTCCAGGTGAAGTTTACTGGTAGAGTAGGGTGCCTCCAGGCACTTACCAGTACAGCTTAAGAGCTTTGGAACACTTACCCTAGGAAGGTAGACACCAGGCTGGCCCAAGGGCCTGAGGTACTGAGAGGCCAAGGAATCAGGAAGCAGAAGCTGAAGAGACAAGAAACACAGGAAGCAGAGTTGCCTCAGTCTCAAAGGGTAGGGCCACAACCTCTGGGGTCTCAAAGGATGAAGCCATGGCCTCTGGGGTTTTAAAGGGTGGGGCCGCAGCCTCCTAAGTTTCAAAGAGTCAGAACTTCACCAACTTGGTTCTGGAGTATGAGTCTTCCTTTTACGAGTGCCAGCAGGATGGGGCCAGATCTACTGCCCAAAGGTGAGGGGACGGGGCTGCCATACCTAAGGGGCAGAAGAATGGGGCCTGCCAGGGCCACGGGGCTGGAGTAGACACTCAGATGAACTAGGAGAATGGGGCCACCCAAATCTGAGGGAGTAAAGTTTCAGTTCCAGTGGGTCTGGAAGGTGGAGATGAAGCCCAGGGCCAAGTTACTTCCATCCAGAATCTGGAGATTGTGGCTAACAGTCAGAGTCTGGACGGCAAGGCCATTGTCTAAACAGTCTCAGAGAACAGAGGATTATTTTCAAGCCTTGAGAACTAATTTGTGTTCTGCTGACTTGCTTGGTGTCCGTTATCCCTTCTTTTTCTCCAGTTTCTCTCATTTGTAACTTGTTCCACCATTGTACTTTGGAAGCAGATCACTTATATTCTAGTTTTTCACAGATGAAGAGGAATTTTACTCCCAGGATGGAATTTGGACTTGGAGTTGGTTTAAGACCTTAGGAATGATATGATGAGGTGAGTGTTTTACATGTGGCAAAGATATGAATTTTGGGGGGACCAAGAGTGAAATGTTATGGTTTGAATTGTGTCCCCCAAAATGTGTATAAACTTGGCTAGGCCATGATTCCCAGTATTGTGTGGTTGTCCACCATTTTGTGATCTAATGTGATTATCCTATGTGTTATAAATCCTAACCTCTATGATGTTAATGAGGCAGGATTAGAGGCAGTTACGTTAATCAGGCAGGACTCAATCTACAGGATTAGGTTGTATCTTGAGTTAATCTCTTTTGAGATTTAAGAGAAGCTATCAGAGAAGCAGAGGGACCTCACACTACCAAGAAAGAAGTGCCTAGAGCAGAGTGCATCCTTTCGACCCAGGATTCCTACTCTGAGAAGCTGCTAGACCAGGAGATTGATGACAAGGACCTTCCCCCAGAAGCAACGGAGAGAGGAAACCTTCTCTTGGAGCTGGTACCCTGAATTCAGACTTCTAGTCTCCTAGACTGTGAGAGAATAAATTTTTGTTTGTTAAAGCAATTCACTTGTTGTCTTTCTGTTATAGCAGCACTAGCTAAGACACCCACTATGCTTCATTTTCTTTCTTTTTTATTTTAAAAGCTATTTTCACTTTAGCATAGGAATTGCAGCCCAGCACTTAACTTGCATCACCAAGGCTCCTTAACCAAAGATCCCAAAACCAAACCCATTGCTGTCAAGTTGATTCTGAGCCCTGGTGGCACAGTGGTTGAGCACTTGGATGCTAACCAAAAAGTCTGTTGTTTGAATCCACCAGCTGCTCCATAATAGAAAGATGTGGCAATCTGCTTCCATCAAGATTACAGCCCTGGAAACCGTATGGGGCAGTTTTCCTCTGTCCTCCAGGATTGCTATGATGAACTAAAGATTAAGGACTTCTAAATTCTAGATTTGGACTGATAGCTGCACTGTGGTTGTTTCTCAGCCAATATCAAAGAAATATGCTAACATCTACTCAGATGCTTTCCAATTCTAGTTCAAGTCCATCAGTAAATTGAGAAAATATTCCTCAATTAATTGGCTATCTGGAGCGTTTCATTAGGTTGCTTTAAATATTCCCTTCCTCCAGATATGAAGAGATGGTCATTTCCCAGAATTTGCATTCTACATTAGGGAAAGACAGGAATGACCTTTTATATGGTTTAGGGAAGAGCTGGGACAGTCCCAAGACTGTGAGAGTCACACAGGCAATAATAGTTTAATTAAATACTAGCAATAGATTAAATAACTAAAATGGATTGATTAAAAGATTAATAGACTTGATACATAGAAAAAGATTACATTTATAGTCCATCTACTTCTCTATTCCTCAATGCAGAGACACCTAATATTGGGGCCTTACACAACCCTGGAAAATTTGAGCCATGTCCTTGCTCCTAAATATCTTAAAAAGTAAGTTGACACTGTCTTGTGATTGATTGATTTCTGTTTGTCTTTCAGAGAACTGAGCATTTAAAGAGCACAGGGATTCTAATTAATCATCAGATAATGCTCAATTTGAGACAGATTCTAGAAGTTCTTCATTTAATTATTTTTAGATGATCTACTTTTGTTGATGCACAAATCCAGCCTTGTAAATAATGCCTTCAATCAATTCGAAGTCACAAACTTTTGCCTCTTTTTTTTTTTTTTAACCACAATTTAGCTATTCATATGTCTCTAATTTTGGTAAACTAGATCAAAACTATTTCTTAGAGAAAATCATTTTTTAAGTCTCTCAAGGAGAAAAGAAAGGGAATCACAGACAGGTACTTACTCTTCAAATAGCCCATAATGGTTTCAGTTGATTAATTGTCCCTAAACATTCTGAGGGTTAGATAGAAGAAGAAGAATATGTTTGCAGAGGCTTGTGTGTGGACTTTGGGTCACTCTTACACATGGATTCATGTCACCTCATAGGCATCTCTGGGATGATATTCATTTGCTATTTTCATTTTCAGCAAGTGGTCAAGCCTTTCTTACCAAGACATTTGTCTGATTTTGAAAGTATGTTGCTGTTTGAAGATCTGGGGAATGTCAGGAGCTCTCCCTGGTTTCAGGAGAAATGAAATTCAACCTCTCTAGACAAAGTGTGAATTTTTTACAATAAGAAGATTAATATTTGTTTTATTTTGCCAAACCTGAAGCCAAGTGTATAAACAACAGTCCTTGGTGACGTAGGTCCCAAAACTTTAATGAATTAGTGTAATGAACATTTGGCAAAACTGTGAAGTACGCAGCAGTGGGGACAGTGTCCTCAGAGAAATGAAGATGCCACAACAACATCCAACACAGGCCATGTGAACAAAATAAAAATCTAATGACAAAGAGCAAGCCTACCTATTTTCTTTCTTTTGTTCCATAAAATCTTTAGCAGCCAACAGAATACAATAATCTTCTTTCTCCTTTTATAAAATTTCTTTAAGTAATTATTAGTTATTATAAATATAATTCAATTAAAGATAATAAAAATAGGGACTGGTGGCTGTCAAGTTGATTCCAACTCATAGTGACCCCATAGGGCAGAGTAGTGCCCATAGGGTTTCCAGGGAGCAGCTGGTGGATTTGAACTGCAGACCCTTTGGTTAGCACCTGAGCTCCTAACCACTGTGCCACCAGGACTCCAAAATAGGAAGAGTAAAATTTAAAAGTGATAACCACTTTTAATATTTCAGGTTCCAGTCTTCTTTCCTCTGTAAATATGTTAATATTTGACATATTCACAACTTGAAGGCATTCTTTACAGGTTGTTTTACAAGTTAGTAGGTCATTTAAAAACATAACATAAACTTTTTATCTCGATAGTTATAAATATGTATCATCATTTTCAGAAACTGTGTAATATTTCTTTTTGGAGCATTCCATCTGAATTTGAAGCCAATCCTAACAGTTGAAAATGTGTTTGTGATTTTTCACTGTTATAAAAATATGACTATTTAGAAGTGATTATATTACTGTACAATTTGAATTGTAGGTTTATTTGTTCATTTCTAAAAACAACTATCAGCAATGATGCAAAATTCATTCTTGTACAAATGTTTTGATTACTTAGACTAGAACTGAAATTTCAGAAAATGTTCCAAAAGGTTAAAGTATTTTGTACAAGCAAAGTTAGTTTATGAGAATATTCCTGTAACCATATTCAATAATGGACATTATTATTGTTTTTATGTATGTTAACACTTTATGTATGTTGCTAATATTTTTCTAAGTTTTTCATTGTTGTATAATTGTGTTTATGTAATTCTCTTGTCACAGAATCACATGTTACATTTCAGAGAAAAATTATATCTTTCTGGACAGGGTTCATTGATATTTTTCGGATTTACTTTCCATATTTTATACTTTAAATGAGTTATACAGTTCTATTTTCCAAATTTAATAAAGTTAAAGATCTAATACTGATTTTAACATTTTTTAACTTAAAAATTTTTTTATTAAAATTTTTTATTGAGATTAAATTTACATAGCATACAATTAACCATTTTAAAGTGTACAATTAAGTGGTATTCAGTTCTTGTAAGGCTGGATCCATGTGATACTTTTGTCCCTCATAGAATACTATTAATATAGTATCCATAAAAGAGATTTGTTTGCAAGAAGTGGAAAGAAGTGACCTCACTAAGTAAGGGAAGTCTTGGGGACAAGAACACTTTGAGAAATTTTATTTGAATGAACTTCAGATTAAGAAGAAACAAATCATTTTAGGAACTTAATGATACATGCTTTGGGAAGCCTATCTCTCATGAGAACTTGATTATGAACTTTGACATTCCTTTACTTCTTGGAAGATAAGACAATTCTTTTGATGGAGTCACTGAAGGCTTGTTTTACTTGCTTGTTCCTCAGGGTGTAAATAAAGGGATTCAGCATAGGGGCAATGGATGTTGTGAGCACTATCACACCTTTGTTAATAGCCACTGATTCCTTTGCTGCAGGTTTGACGTAGATGAAGATACAGCTGCCATAGGTGATGGAAACCACGATCATGTGGGAAGAACAGGTAGAAAAGGCTTTTTTCCTTTGTTGGGCAGAGGGGAATCTTAGAATCGTCTTAATGATATATATGTAGGAAAGAACTACAGAAAGAAGGGTTGTGATGAAGGTCAACACAGCACAGGTTATAACCATCTGCTCAATGACCCACGTGTCTGAGCATGAAATCTTCAGGAAGGGAGAGACATCACAGAGAAAGCTGTCAATGACATTAGAGTCACAGAATTTCAGATTTTGGCTCAGACCAAATGGTGGGAGTATGATCAACAAACCAGCCATCCAACAGCAAAAGATGAGTCTTTTGCACACTCTGTTGTTCATGATGGTGGTGTAATGCAGGGGCTTGCAGATGGCCACATAGCGGTCATAGGACATGGTGGCCAGGAGAAAAAATTCAGTAACTCCCAAAAGATCAGTAAAAAATGCTTGAATGGCACAAGCACCGTAGGTAATAGTCTTGTCACCTGTTGTTAGGTTATACAAGTATCTAGGAATGCAAGCAGATGTGAATGAGATTTCTAAGAAGGAAAAATTTTGTAGGAAAAAGTACATTGGTGTTTTAAGGTGAGAATCCGCTAAAGTGAGTGAAATAATGGTCAGGTTCCCAGTTACACTCAATAAGTAGGTAAGAAATAGAAAAATAAAAAGCAGACCCTGCAGTTGTGGATCTTCTGTTAGTCCCAGGAGAATGAATGTTGTTACTGTATGGTTTCTCATCACTAACTTTTGAATTTGTCCAATCTTCATGAAAAAAAAGTGATTTTATTAAATTATACAGGGTATCAGTATTGATAAACAATAGCAAATAAAGTCAAGCACATAAATGCATTGTATGGAATTTCTTCTTTAATTTGGTTATATTGTCAATATACTGGTGGATTTCACTTGTAAGTCTCCTTTTTGTGTTTTAGAAGAAATATATCTTACAGATTAATTTAGCTGTACCACAATCCAACAATTTATAGATTCTATCTCTCTGTTAGAATGGGAATTCCAGAACACTTAGTTGTGCTCATGAGGAACCTGTACACAGATCAAGAGGCAGTTGTTCGGACAGAACAAGCGGATACTGCATGGTTTAAAGTCAGAAAAGGTGTGCGCCAGAGCTGTATCCTTTCACCATACCTGTTCAATCTGTATGCTGAGCAAATAATCTGAGAAGTTGGACTATATGAAGAAGAAAGGGGCATCAGGATTGGAGGAAGACTCATTAACAACCTGCGATATGCAGATAACACAACCTTACTTGCTGAAAGTGAAGAGAACTTGATGCACTTACTGGTGAAGATCAAAGACCACAGCCTTCAGTATGGGTTACACCTCAACATAAAGGAAACAAAAATCCTCACAACTGGACCAATAAGCAACATCATGATAAATGGAGAAAAGACTGAAGTTGTCAAGGATTTCATTTTACTTGGATCTACAATCAACACCCATGGAAACAGCAGTCAGGAAATCAAAAGACTCTGCTGCAAAAGACCTCTCTGAAGTGTTGAAAAGCAAAGATGTCACCTTGAAGACTGAGGTGCGCCTGACCCAAGCCATGGTATTTTCAGTCGCATCATATGCATGTGAAAGCTGGACAATGAATAAGGAAGACCGAAGAAGAATTGAAGTCTTTGAATTATGGTGTTGGCAAAAAATATTGAATATACCACGGACTGCCAAAAGAATGAACAAATCTGTCCTGGAAAAAGTACAACCAGAATGCTCCTTAGAAGGAAGGATGGTGAGACTATGTCTTACATACTTTGGACATGTTGTCAGGAGGGATCAGTCCCTGGAGAAGGACATCATGCTTGGTAAAGTACAGAGTCAGAGAAAAAGGGGAAGATCCTCAGCGAGATGGATTGACACAGCGGCTGCAACAATGGGTTCAAGCATAACAACAATTGTGAACATGGTGCAGGACCGGGCAGTGTTTCGTTTTGTGGTACATGGGGTTCCTAGAAGTTGGCACCTAACAACAACATCTCTCTGTTATGTCTTCCCAAGTTTATTTTACGTATTTAGACTATATACTATATTGGTTTTTACTGAGAGTGCATCATGATATTAACAACATTACTCCCATGCATTCTTCTCTATTTTGAAGGTCAAATCTTAAAGTTTACTAACAGTTCCATGTCTTTACTTGTAGCTTGGCCCTTGATAAAACATAATTTCATAACAAATAATTTGCACATGCTATAGAGGTTCCCCAAAATCCATCATCAATTATAGTTTTATATTCAACCCATATAACAAAATAATGCTTTTGTTGTTTTGCTTTGTTTTGGTTTAGAAACAAACCCCACCTCCCTATATCCCTTTGACTCTTATATTTCTTAACTATTATGTAATTTGCTCTATGTACATGTGGTACAAAATACAGATGTTCAATGCACAACCTATTTGTTACATGTGAAGAGATGTTGCTTGCAAGTGGTGAACAAGTAATGAACATTACCAGTATTGTTTTATAGTCTCATTTTATTTCATTATCATTGAGATTAGTCACAACTGTATTCATTCCTCATATGTTGCCTTCCTTAGCTTCATCTATACTGATAATACTATATAGTGATTAGAGGTAGATTCTCTGGCCAGATTGACACAGTTCCATTCCTGGCTATTCTATTTATTAGCTAAAGTGCAACTTTTATTAAATTGTATAATTCCACTGTGCCTTAGAGTTTCATTTATAAAATGATGGTGATGACAATATCTACTACAAAAGATTATTAGAATGATTATATGAATGAAACACTCTTAAAACTGGATGTAGAACTTAGTAAGCATTTATTGTATGATTCCTACTCCTGTTATCTGACCTACACTGATTGTATGTAGTTCCTTATCAGCCATCAAATTCTTAACCTATTGTAATCTGATTCTGAATCCAATATTTTACTGAAATTGTTTTGCCAGTGTTACCAGTGACTTCTGTTAAATAAACCGTACATGATTTATGTGACTACTCATGAGTATTTATCTCTTTTGGCTGACACCTCTTCATAAAATGTTCTGATACCTTAGCTCCAATAGCACCTTGCACATGTTTTTACTCTTACATGTTGCTTGGTTCTTAACCTCCCTTTACTTCTTAATGTGTAATCGTCAACTCCAATAACTTCAAATAAATCTGTGTGGTGATAATTCTACTCCCTGTATTTCTAGCAATGATCCTTTTTTTTTCCCCCTGCAATTATATGAGCCACATGTACCTCACCTTTAACACACACAAAGTTGATGTCAGGGACTTCTGCATCCCTAGCCTCTTCTTCCCATGTTCTCCCACTAATAAAGCCAATTGATTGCGATTATTGAATAGAAACCACATAATATGCCAGGTGCATTATAAACACTTCATAGGAAGGACCTGTCTGGAACCATCTTGCCTCCAATCCTTTCCCTACCTCTACTTCATCTTTTTTTACTAACTCTTGGATTCATCTTGAGGACATCAGATTCTCTGGTTTTCAGCCTAAGCATCACTTCTGAAACCTGGTGGCAGGATTGGATGCCACCAATATCAAACAATGCTTATTTTTGTAATGGCACTTATCCTGACAATATCAGTCTTTTGGTATTAGGAAGGGTCTTTTTCACTGGGATAACCACCAAAACTAACATAATCTAGGCATGATGTCAATGCTTGATAAATGATTATTAGATGAATATAAACATCACTAATTTCCTCCAAACATGTGCAAAGATATCTTCTTTCCTATTTGGACTTTTTCTTGATATTTCTCCATCACTGAATTTACATTGAAAATATTTTCTATGCTAATGGCTCTGCTATTTTGTTTTAAAAAATTATTTATTTATTGACAGTAGTGTTTGCTGCTTAATTAGTCATAGTACAAAGCTAGCACATTCTCTGCTAACATCCATTACCTTTACTGTTGATCAAAAAGATAACTGGCTTCTCTTCCTTGTCTTGTCTGCTGAGTAAATGAATAGTTGGACTTCCATTTTGCCTCCTGGAGGTATCAGTCATTAAGATAATAAAATAATAGGTCAACTTTGCAAAACTGGGTATGGTTCCATAGCTCCTGTATAGTTTTTTTCCTCAGTTATCACAAAGTAATTACAATAGAAATCAATTAATTGTTTTCAATTAGCGTTCCTTGGACTTATGAATTTTCTTACATCAATTACTCTGACAGATTCCAATTAAATTATTTTAAGAATGGATTCAATGCAATGATTTATAATATTCTGTGTCAGGGTGGGTACAGGGTCAACTCCAACCAGGTGTCCAGTTCTCACATTTATGCCACTATCTCAGAGAACTGTCATTAACCAAATTAATGGTTTCTTGAGAGCTAGAATCTGAAAGATTAAGAAGTAGTGAAGACTTACCTCAGAGCCCACTACCTCCTTTCAATTCCATTCTCTTCAGCTCACAGGCACCAAATGCATCACTGTGATGTTAAACTCAGTCCTACAAACTTTGGAAAATATTAGATGTGGTACGAATATAATCCCTCACGTGTCTGTCAGTTTGTCATACTGTGGGGGCTTGTGTGTTGCTGTGATGATGGAAGCTATGCCACCAGTATTCAAATACTAGTAGGGTCACCCATGGAGAACAGGTTTCAGCTGAGCTTCCAGACTAAGACAGACTAGGAAGAAGGACCTGGCTGTCTACTTCTGAAAAGAATTAGCCAAGAAAATCTTATGAATAGCAGCAGAATATAATTATTTTACTGCAATTATAAATGTTATTTTTCCATGCTAAAACCATCTTACCTAGATAGTAAAAGTTAAATTCTGATAAATTATTTGACTCTGAATTGTGACTATTTCTTTTTATTCCATCTTTCAAATATTTTACATTTACAGTGCATCTAGGGATCTCTAATAAGGTGATATTGTCTAAGATCCTCTTTTGTTTGAGGATGCAGCACACGACGCCACTGCATGACAATGAAATTATATGACATTTCGATGACCTCTCAATTACTGCTATTAATGACTATAACATACCCAGTGATAGTACTCTTTTATGGATTAAATAGTTACTAGTAGTTTCTGTTCATTGTGTGACCATAAACATTTCTAAGTTTACAAAATTGAAAATGAATGTGCAGTGAAGATTTATGTGAACTTCTGGTCAGCCTTGCTAAGCTCATTCGCATGCAGGCCTGAGAATTCATGAAATTTTCTCTCTGCCATATACTGGAAAATTTTCCCCTCAATAGATTTTCTGTCATTTATGCATAGGCAATAATTTCTTTATTAATCTTCAATGTATCTTCATTTTTGAAAACAAAACTTTTTCAAAGGGAGTAATGTTCGGAACAATCTCTTTGGTAGAAAAATTTAATGTTTGAAACTCTCCGGGCTCAGGGAGTTACCAACTACCAATTTGATACTTGTTTCATTTGCATAAAGATAAACCAAAAGATTGAATCATCTTTTACAAGACAGGTTTAAGATTACTAATGAATCTTGTGTGCATTGAAAAATTTAAAAAATATCTAACAAGCATCAGTAAATACGGTGTCCTTAGAGAAGAGTAAGCATCATAAACATCTCCCGCAAGTACCCAGAACAAAAATTTAAAGTACCAGGTTAATTTATCTTCAGTTGTAAAAGTCAGTTAGAAACTATAAGAGTCCTTTTATCCTTTATCAGTTCTTATTATGTCAATAATTTATAAAGTTGAAGAATTTTGAAAAAGGAAATAGAATGTAAAATAATATCACAGATTTCTAATATTTGTAGAAATATACTTTTAGATGTTCCTTCTGCAAATG